ACAGTGAAATACAGCATCAAACAGAAATGGGGAAAAATTGGATCTATCTCCTCAAGAAAGAGGATTTTCCGAAGGTGTCAGCCAAGCTTGGCATTATCCTGGAGGGCAAGTCAGACGAAATGCAAAAAGCCCTTTCAGAGTATGTCACGAAAACACAAAACGACCCAGGAATGGCAGAAATTTCGGCTGAGCTGGAGGAAATATACGACAAACCAGGCTCAAGAGGCAAGTTGCAAGTTCCAGACGCCGAACAGCTCATAGCTAGCCTGGGTGTGGAGAGCATGAAGGAGGCAGGATGATCCAGGGGCACAAGTCAAGAAAGAAGACCAGAACAGCAAAGGCCTAGCGGACTAGACTATGCAAAAGTCGCAAAGCAAGTCAGGGAATGTTCCTTCAAGTTTGACGGCACGGAATAACCACTGGAGTTTCTGGAACAAGTAGAATGGTCAGTAAACATATACGGTTTGAACCTGAACCTCATTCCCCGAGCCAAGCCAGAATTGCTGCAAGGCAAGGCCCAAAAGTGGTTTATTTCTAACAATAAACACTGGAGGCCATGGGGAGAGTTCAGCGACAGTTTCCAGACTTACTTCCTGTTAAGGGGATTCTTCTCAAAGCTTGCAGATCAGGTCAAACAAAGGAAACAGGTTTTCCGAGAGTCGTTCAAGGACTATAAGGTCGACATGCAGACCATGATGAGACCACTCGGCTACTCTCCAAACGAAACACTAGAGCTGATAAAGGAAAACTGCACCCCTGATCTGAGGATTTCCCTGAGGATAAGGTGTGCCGGACATACAGTGGTGATCCCAGAGAGGAGAAGGCACAACGGGTGGTTAGAGGGGAAATTGTGCGTGGCAGTGGTGCAAATCACCTCTTAGGAATGCGATGTTGAAAAATTCCTAGAGCAGGAGCTCGCGGAATTTCGAGCAATGAGTGGAACATCCAACATAGCCGAGCACCGAATCACCATGAAGGACGACAAACCAATGAAACAGAGATATACCCGAAAAATCCAAAGCTTCAAGGGGAAATCAATGCGAAAGTCGACGAGTTGCTGGAGAAGGGATGCAAAGAACACTCGAGAAGTCCGTACAGCTCTTTGATTGTCATGGTGAAGAAAAAGACAGGTCAGTGGAGGCTTTGTGTCGACTTCAGACAGATCAATGCCAAATCCATCAAGGATGCTTATCCGATGCCAAGGATAAATTGCATATTGGACCAGTTGAGGGAGGCGAGATATATAAGCAGTCTAGATTTGAAAGACGGCTACTGACAAATTCCTCTGGAAGAAAATAGCAGGCAATTCACGGCGTTCACAGTGCCAGGAAAGGGACTATTCCAATGGACAGTAATGCCATTGGGCTTGCACTCCGCTTCGGCGACTTTCCAGAGAGCACTGGATCAGGTTATAGGACCGGAGTTGTCACCACACGCGTTTGTGTACCAAGACGACATCATCATGATCGGACGCACACTGGAGGAACACAGGAGGAACTTGAGAGAAGTGCTCCGACGCCTAAAGCAGGCAAACCCGAAAAATGTCAATTCTTCAGAATCGAACTGTTTTACCGCGTGACAAATCAAGGAATCGGAACCGATCCCGAAAAGGTAGCAGCCATAGTTGGAACCACCTAAAACAAACCGGGAACTGCGCCAATACTTAGGCGATTCGTGGCCGATTTTGCTCGAATAGTGAAACCATTAAATGATCTATTGCGGAAAGGCACGAAATGGACATGGACTATAAATCACCAGCAGGCATTCGATGAGGTAAAGGCTAGTTCAAACAGTGAATAAGAATGCCAGGCAATCGTGTGGGCGATCCGGAAGCTCAAACCATACTTGGAAGGATACGACTTCAAAGTGGTGACTGACCATATGGCGCTTAAATGGTTGAACAGCATCGAAAGTCCCTCAGAATGGATAAGAAGGTGGGCCTTGGAGCTGCAGCAGTATGATTTTGAAATATCGTACAGGAAGGGGCAGCTTAACGTTGTCAAGACAGCCTCTGCCAGAAGCCTTTAGGGTCAAAGATATGTGTGAGAAAATCAACACACAGCCACAGAAGTTTCCGGACTACCTCATGGAGGGAGGCGCGTTATATAGGCATATCCCGCACAGAGCAGGCAGCGAAGACGTGGCAGCATGGAAGTTCTGTGTCCCACGGGGGCTGAGGGTCTTTATAGTACGCAGAACACAAGGATGCACAGTGACCCAGACAACGAGGCAAACAGATTCTGCGTCGGGCATGAAGCCAGAGTCATCTGTTAATACGCAGCGAAGAATAGGGTGATGCACAGGACAAGAAACCGAAAAGACCGCAGGCCAACAACAATCCGTAGCGTCGGCAGACTCTGTACGAATCGCGGAAAGAGACAAAAAGTAAACAACAAATCGATAGGAGATTGCGCTTACCATATCATTGTGCGAAGTCACTATAAACAAGGGATGGGAGCACTTCGATTTAAAGCGGCCGATTGGCACTGTACGATAGTGTCGACCGGTGGGCAGAAAATACTGGATATATCGGCACATGGAGTCACACCGTGGAACATCGATAACATCAGGTGGCAACGCCTCGCTAGGTCACGGAACCGATAGCAGCTGAGGACCGATCGAGCTCTGAGCGTCATGGGAACCATCTAGAAAAGCGAGTCGACTAGAAGGCTACAAATAAACGAGGACAAGTACGAGGAGAAGACACGTCGAGGGAAGGATGTCAGAAGGTGGAGTATACCAAGTAACTTTACTTCTCCGAAGTAAACGGAGAATGTGAGGAGTTGAATAACTCCCCACAAGTTAGAAAGCAAGCAAAGTAAGCGCATGCAAGCAGTTGCCTATCAGTTACCAGTTACGCGGCGAATTCGCCCGTAGTAACGGTAGTGCGACGAGAGAGAATTGTGCCCTGAGCACCAGACAAGGACAGGGTGAGTCCGAAAGGGGCAGCAATATACGAGAGCAGCGAAGGGCCGTGTGCAGAAGGATGTAACGGGACGGCACCGGACTTCGGACCCTGGTGTTGGTGGCGATTGGTGCTGATTGGTAGAGGGCGAAAAGTCGAACGGTAAAACCGTGGACTTTGGACCAGGAGGCAAGGAGTCGCCGATAACTAGCGGTAAATGGAGGCCTATATAAGCCGGCCGAGCGCAGGAAGCTGGATCAGTCGATTTCTACCAAGTCAACAAGTAACAGTCATCAAGTGAACCAGTAACCAGTGAAACAACGTGAAGAACCATGTAAAGCCGTGCCGAGTCATAAAGGAAACAAGATCGCTACGTCGAGACGTTCGGGACTTAGAGCTAAAGTCTCCGATTTGAGACAAAGGCTAAGTCGAAGCGCTTTGTCACAACTTCTGTCGCGATTTGAGCTTCCGACAGAATTGAACAAATAGAGTCCTTCGACGAAGAACCGCGGGCTCAGAAGGAAAGTGGTCTTTAACTAGCTGCCTGCCTACAAGTACTGCATTGACGAACTCCGGCGTACGCCTGATCGTCCTGCAGGAATTTAAGAAAGTTCTGGTGCGACTATCCCGGAAGGACACGCGTTTGATCAGCTAGTGTCTCGAAAGGCGTATGCGTTGAGAGCACAGCAGTTCACCGCTAGAGTCCGAAACGTGAGCGCTACGCCAACAAGGAGCGGAGCCAGTCAAGACATCCGGAGACAGAGCAAGGACAACGAGGACACCCAGGACGACGAACAACAAGCGCCGTGCGAGAATCAGATACGTCAAATTCTAACGCCTGCGGCAGAGAGGCGGGGTGAAGCCTTCGTCTAGAACCTGGCGTTTGACCCAGGGACTGCTTTTGCGGCTTCCGGCCTACGCCTGAACCGTCAGGTAGGAACTGAGCCGACGTCAGATGCGACCGGCCGGGACAGAGCAAGGGACAGGAGGCTGCGGCTGCGAGAGGCGTATGCCTTGAGAGCCCAATGCTTAGTCTGGAAACGGTGACGCATCCCTAAGCCCTTTAATCCCGCCGAGCCAAAGGCAACGGAAGGCATAGCGAGCGAAACCGGCGAGGGAGACACCACTTCGCAGTGATCACAACCCAGCGCGACGTTCAACGTGGGAAGGAGCCGACTGCGGAGAAACAAAGAAAATCAGTTCGTTACATCTGGCGCCCAACGTGATTGTCCTGACAGTGAAATATAGCATCAAACAGAAATGGGGAAAAATTGGATCTATCTCCTCAAGAAAGAGGATTTTCCGAAGGTGTCAGCCAAGCTTGGCATTATCCTGGAGGGCAAGTCAGACGAAATGCAAAAAGCCCTTTCAGAGTATGTCACGAAAACACAAAACGACCCAGGAATGGCAGAAATTTCGGCTGAGCTGGAGGAAATATACGACAAACCAGGCTCAAGAGGCAAGTTGCAAGTTCCAGACGCCGAACAGCTCATAGCTAGCCTGGGCGTGGAGAGCATGAAGGAGGCAGGAAGATCCAGGGGCACAAGTCAAGAAAGAAGACCAGAACAGCAAAGGCCTGCGCACCAGATTATGCAAAAGTCGCAAAGCAAGTCAGGGAATGGTCCTTCAAGTTTGACGGCACGGAGAAACCACTGGAGTTTCTGGAACAAGTAGAATGGTCAGTAAACATATACGGTTTGAAGCTGAACCTCATTTCCCAAGCCATGCCAGAATTGCTGCAAGGCAAGGCCCAAAAGTGGTTTATTTCTAACAATAAACACTGGAGGACATGGGAAGCTTTGTTTTTTGTGAGCCTTTTTGTTTAAGCTTGCTAATCTAGGCTTTTGCATTTTAATTTTTGAATCGGTGAACGCAAAAAAAGTTTTCCTATAGATAATAGTGCGCAATCAAATCAATAGGATTTTGAGAAATAATATTTTAGAGTAACAGAAAATAACTCTATGGGTGTAAGGTGTTACAAGTCAGATGTTACCAAACCCATAACAATACCAAATAAACTGATAATTATCCTCCATTGTAACTCTATGAAGGTTTTAGTTATTGCATAAGAATTTTATATGCTAGAAACATTTACCTGAATAAAAGTTTGCTTGGTTGAAAAGCCACAATGGAAAGACACATAAGAAGCCAAATTTTGTCAGCCCAGTCATCATTCGGGTTATCTCTTGATTGACGTATGCATTGAACAAATATTTCATCTCGTAATTCTTCTCTTTCAATGCCCAGTCCAATAATATATTGAATAATTTGAAGCTCTCGTTCTGCGTTGTGGTCTGCATGCATATATTTCCAAAGTTCCTTAAAATAAAATCGGTAATAATGGTAAATATAAAATTTATTTCGGTTATGCAGAAAACAGTATTCATAAGGATATACAACTGGATTTCTTATAGCTTTCAAATCACAACTTCTTGGGTCTGGGTTGGTGGTGTACCTTTTTTCTTTATTTAACGTATTAAGGGGTATTCTGGTCTTGAAGCCTGAATCTTGTGCATTTTTTCAAGTAAGAATAAAAAAACGAATTTTTAAAGAACATTTTTTTGTGTTTTTTATTGACATTTTAAAAAACAAAAAATTCGCCGAAATACAGGTCTTTGGAATGAGGTCTTCCAAAAAAATCGGTGCGTCCTTGGCTGACATGATTTCAACCCTCGAGAGTTCGGAAAAAAAAATCAAACAAATTCTTGATTGATAAAGATTCGCTATCGGGTTGACCGTTTTAAAAAAGGAAAAAAAAAGTAAAAGATAAAATGGCGTCCACTTTAAAACAAAAAATATTTTTTTCCAAATTTTGTTGACCTTTTTAAAATTATTTATAATAAAATTATTTTAAGTCCGAGGCAAGATATATACCAAATTTCAAAGGAATCGGGTCAGTAAGTATTGAAATAACATGCCAGCCAACCCAAAGGAGGTAGTTTCGACGAGTATCTCCAAAAATAATTCGAATTTTGAAAAAATTTTTAAGGATCATAAAAGTCTAAGCATTCAAAACTCCAAAAAAAATACCCCCTTAACACAATTCGAAATAATTCAATGTTCGTATCAGATGTGGTGTTTAATCACATCAATTGAATTTTCGATGAATGATATGAAGCGCATTTAATGACAATTAACCGAAATAAAAATAAAATAAAATACTTGTACGCACATTTGACTTTGTCACGCGCTTTTATACTCTCCTTGTCTTGCCATTTTTTTCAAATTAAATTTGCTAATATAAATAATAAACTTTGTTAAAAAACACCTCAATAGTTACAAAAAAATTTTAATATTGTGGGAATGGACTGGTAATTCAGATCAGCTGGTTTCCTCCCACTGTTGGAGCGGGTCCTTGCCGTGCTGAGTAGTTTACGTGTCCAATAAGAAAACTTTGGGTTCGGGTTTAAAATTCACGACACGCTTTTCTTTACTTTATACTTTTTTATTTACTTTTTTCCTTTATTTTTTCTTATGAAGTACAAAATATGACGTAAGGTCTAAGGGCTATATCTATATGGTGAGAGAATTTTTACCCGGTTGTTCAACAGTGATGCCAAGCCAGCGATGTTGCACCAAGCCTGGTTCGACATGAACACCCACATAATCTGGGGGCTTAACCAAAACAAAGCATAAGAGTAATAATGATCCAAGCAAAAAGTAAAAGAAAAACCGAATTCTTACTTAGTAATCATAATTTCGTCGTTAAAAATTGGAAAGAAGAGCCAAAAGTTAATTTCACAAGAGTTTTCAAATTTCATCATCCGAATAAAAACAATAGCATACAAGCACGCGTGTGACAATACATATATAAATTCGGTTATCCAGACGTCTACATGGCAGTCCAAAAATTGCGAAATGAAATGACTTTGAATGTATTAGTTCGATGCTTCGAGAAGAAAAACGGCATTATATTTTACTGCTACATAAGTTTGTGTTCGAAAGAGACGGTGCTTGATACAATAGAAAGCCCTTGCGAAAGTTTCGCCGTAATTTGTAGTTTGTTACGACTTCCCAAAAATAAAGACGACCTGAGGAAACATATTTTTTGCAATTCGAAACGAGGTTCGTTAGTATCCGTAGCAGCTTTTAATGAGGAAAACGAAGAAGACGAAAGCGATGGTAACGATTCTGAAGCCGAAGACGAAATAGAAGAGAACCAACCAGATGGCATGAGTGTTCGGAGCAGTATCAGTACAAGGAGCGAGTGTGAAAATGCCAGCAGCGCATAAATTTAAATATCGTGACACCGAACGAACTGCAAAAATTCATTTTGCCAAGCAATCGCTACAAGACCTAGCGATAATGTTTACCAACAGTGAGCGCGAGATGTCGAGTTAGGTAAAATTGAAAAACGCCCAATTAGCCGAGCTTAAAACCGCGACAAACAGTGCTCAGTTACACAGGCTAATGTCTGAGAAAAAATTATGTAAGGTGAAAGTTTACAGGAAATGAAAGAGCTAGTATGAAGAGGTAATATTGAAAACAGTACCTTAATTCAACACATAACCGATGGAATTGATGATTAGTGTGCAAATAAGCTGGTGCGCTATGCTAAAAATCTGATCAACTTAAAAGACAAATTGATGTGTTATGAAGTAATCCGCGGTATATCAAGAAGTGAAGGAAAAAACCAAGTCATGTTCTCAAAAAATGCGACCAAAAGTGAATACATGAATCAAAATGAATTTGAATATATGAATGAATTTTGAGATATATGTGTTTTAGACTTCAGTTTTGATCGGACTTCCTAACGTCACCATTTTGACTTTCGAGAACCTGGCATTTACAATTTAAAGCCTTGCAGCATTCATCCCAAGACGGTATTTGCTCGAATGTTTGTTGTTCGTTGTATTTAGCCTTTCTTTGGCTGTCGACCTTTGATAAAATCACATGAATCATTACGTTATTCATAAATGTTACGACTGTGGCGGAAAAGGGCATTCATTCGCGAATGGTGAGTGCAAAAGTAAGGGAAAAAAAATCTTTCAGTGTAACAATGTGGGCCACATTGCTAAAGAATGCCCAGAAGGTTTGTGGGAAAAATAAAAGCAACATACATGTGTGAAGTGCCATCTGCTTACGCTTTTATATGCATAACAGTAAAAGCCAATAACACAATTGCGCTAATCGACACCGGAAGCAAGTTCATTGAAGTTACAGATACCACGAATAAAAGCTTAAACAAACCTATGCTAACACTTAAATCGTCATGTTCGGTAAAGCAGACAAAAACAAAATTAAACCATCGGGTTCGTTTGAACAAAACATTACAATTGACAGTTCCTGGACAAAGAAATGGTACTTGGTGAAGAGTTTTGCAAACAAGCTCAAAAGACAATCAGAAGTGCAGGTATTAAAGTATCAACCGCACTCTGGCCCGATGCTGAAGTCAGTCCGATTTTCAAAATTGATATCGAAGACTGATATCACTGACATTGAACATACAGCGAACGCAAAAGCAGAAGAGGTCGTATACAATATGGTCCAAAACTATCATCCGGTAAGAACTAAATCCACAAACATTTATATGCGTTTGATTCTGAGCAATGACATGCCGATACACTCACGACCTCGCAGATTTACAAATGCAGAACGCTGCATTATCAACAATCAAACCGATCAATGACTAAAGGACGGCATAATCGAAACATCAGAGCCAGAATAAAGTAGTCCAGTTTTTCTAGTTAAGAAACGTGACAGATCTCATCGCCTATGTATCGATTACAGCCGAATTAATTAAGTCGTTATCATTTACACTTCCATTGGTCAAAGATCAATTTGACAGATTGCAAAACGCACGTATTTTCAGTTCGATTGATTTAAAAAACGGATTCTTTCACGTGGACATTGAAGAAGAGGGTCCTAAATACACGTCTTTCGTGACACACAACGGACAATTTCAGTTCCTACGGGTTCCGTTCGGGCTTTTTAACTATCCGAGTGTATTCCAACGACACGTGAATGTTGTACGTGAATACTTTACGTCGACGACATAATAATACCGGAGGAAACCGAACAAGAAGCCTTAGACAACATCTTCATGTAGTCAAACATCAAAAATAGTCCGTCTCCATCAAAAGCACATTATTTCCAGTTCCGACCAACCTGAAAAAGCTCGAGGGTTTCCTTGGCTTAGTGGATTATTTTCGTAAGTTTATCGCAAATTTCTAGCAAATAGTCAAACCCTTAACTGACATTGCCAAACAAGATGCGAAAATGTATTTCGGTGTCCAACAGGTAGCGGCATTTAACAAACTAAAGGTTTTCATCACGCAAAAGCCAGTCCCTAAAAATTGTTCATCAGCAACACGAGACTGAACTGCATACGCGTCAATACACGGTTCCGTGTAAATTAAATTTGCTAATATAAATAATAAACTTTGTTAAAAAACACCTCAATAGTTACAAAAAAATTTTAATATTGTGGGAATGGACTGGTAATTCAGATCAGCTGGTTTCCTCCCACTGTTGGGGCGGGTCCTTGCCGTGCTGAGTAGTTTACGTGTCCAATAAGAAAACTTTGGGTTCGGGTTTAAAATTCACGACACGCTTTTCTTTACTTTATACTTTTTTATTTACTTTTTTCCTTTATTTTTTCTTATGAAGTACAAAATATGACGTAAGGTCTAAGGGCTATATCTATATGGTGAGAGAATTTTTACCCGGTTGTTCAACAGTGATGCCAAGCCAGCGATGTTGCACCAAGCCTGGTTCGACATGAACACCCACATAATGATCCAAGCAAAAAGTAAAAGAAAAACCGAATTCTTACTTAGTAATCATAATTTCGTCGTTAAAAATTGGAAAGAAGAGCCAAAAGTTAATTTCACAAGAGTTTTCAAATTTCACCATCCGAATAAAAACAATAGCATGCGTGTGACAATACATATATAAATTCGGTTATCCAGACGTCTACATGGCAGTCCAAAAATTGCGAAATGAAATGACTTTGAATGTATTAGTTCGATGCTTCGAGAAGAAAAACGGCATTATATTTTACTGCTACATAAGTTTGTGTTCGAAAGAGACGGTGCTTGATACAATAGAAAGCCCTTGCGAAAGTTTCGCCGTAATTTGTAGTTTGTTACGACTTCCCAAAAATAAAGACGACCTGAGGAAACATATTTTTTGCAATTCGAAACGAGGTTCGTTAGTATCCGTAGCAGCTTTTAATGAGGAAAACGAAGAAGACGAAAGCGATGGTAACGATTCTGAAGCCGAAGACGAAATAGAAGAGAACCAACCAGATGGCATGAGTGTTCGGAGCAGTATCAGTACAAGGAGCGAGTGTGAAAATGCCAGCAGCGCATAAATTT